GTGTTTTCAGGCTCAGAATGGTAATGAACTAAGAAAGCTATCTGAAGGTGCTTCGATTTTCTGGCCACCTTTCCATCTTCCAGGATGTAGCATAGGCTCATATACAATTACCTGGGACTGGATTCTGAAGTTGAAGGGACCTTCCCAGGCAGCAGGCCTGAGAGGCAAAAAGACTCCTCACCATGGACTTTACAGTTTGGGTATGTGGACTCACATTCTCTTCAGGCAAAGTGGGGGCTAGGAGAGGGCAAAAACCCTTCTAGAAGGGTTATCCATATATTTATCTGCTTCCCGTGCTTGGTAATAACCCTCCTAGAGATTGCCCAGGGTGAAGTAAATTTTCAGAATCCATAGCATTGCATCTTCATGTTCTATCTACTGGAGAACACTCCCCAATAACGGGCAGAAGAAAACAATCCCCTGGGTTAAAGGGAAATGAACACCAAAAAATATAACAAATCAGAGCTCAGGTCAGCTACAAACCAGGTGCACATTAAATTTAATTACATGACACAACCATTGCAGGATAAAAGTAATAGTTCATAATATGCATATTGCAGTTATACAGGTACATCTGTGTGTTTCTTGTATTTGACCTACCATTTCAGGACTGGGTAACCTCTGACATTTACCTCATTTTTAGCAGCTTTATGTTATCTGAATGTAGTTGTGCCTGCCTGGGGGCATTGGGCGTGGTCCATTTATGTACTTTCTGATTCAGCCATGGAATTTTATTATGCTGCAGCAGCCTCATTTGCTCTTGGCAGAAACCATATACCAAGAACCATAGCTATAGTCTGGGTAGCCATGTCATCAAAATGGGAAATAATTGTGGTAAGAGCAAATAGCCCAATGCTTGGTATAATAATTGTGTGACCCAAAAGCAAACCCATCTCTGAAAGCAAATCACAAACTGTTCCACTGGTTTACTTACGCTTTGTAATGAAATTTGTATGATGCATGAAATTTTGATTTGCTTGTGAGGTAAGTTGCAGCATACGCCATCACTATATTAAAGTACAGTAGATGTAATGCTTCATTCACACTAGTGCAATTTCAGATGCAACTTGAGTTGCACAAAATCACATGACAATGGAAAACACGTTTTTCATAGTGACTGTTCACATCAATGCTACTCAGCATGATGCAATTCTGGAAATGATTCCTTTACTACTTTGGTGCTATTCCAGCACAATTTTAGCCTCATAGAATATGCAAACTACATCAAAATAGCATACAAGTTGAGTCCAAGTCGCACTACGTAATAGCACTGAAAGTTAGAACAAAGTTGGATTGCAACAGTGTAAACCTGAGTTTAAACATGTTACACCGATATTTAGGATTTAACGAGTGAAAAGTAACTGCGTTGAGTGCCGAAAAAATCCAAACAATTTGTGAACCATAAAACAAACAGTGAAACAATAGCTGCACTCAAAAAATACCAATATAAATACCCAATAAGTGATATCCTGTTGTTGTTGTGTTATTTGTAAAAAATATACTAATAGTGAGTCACTTATAGTTTAACCAGTTGCCGTCCGCAGATAGCTGAATGATGGCTACACTGCGGCCGGCTAGTTCTGGGAGGGCGTCATATGATGTCCTCCAAGAACACACTCTGGGGCACGCAACTGGCAATCTCCGTGATCGCTGTGTCCTATGGACACAGCTGATCATGTGATGTGGTAAAAGGCCAATCACAGCGGCTTTTTACCACGTGATCAGCCATGTCCAATGACATGCTGCTCACAGGGAAATGCAATTGCCGGTTCTCGGCTGCACTTTCCTCACGCTGTCAGAACATGGGGAAAGTACTGCCGAGGACCGTCAGTTGTCAGAGCAGGGATTGGCACCGATCATCAGGGCACTGATGATCAGTGCCCTGATGATCGGTGCCCAGCAGTGCCACCCACCAGTTCCACTCACCTGTGCCCAGCAGTGCCGCCCACCAGTGCCCAGCGGTGCCACCCACCAGTGCCCAGCAGTGTCACCCACCTGTGCCCATCAGTGCCACCCACCTGTGTCACCCACCTGTTCCCATCAGTGCCACCCACCTGTGTCACCCAAGTCTGATCATCAGTGCCACCCACCTGTGCCCATCAGTGCCACCCACCTCTGACCATCAGTGCCACCCACCTGTGCCACCCACCAATGCCCATCAGTGCAGACCCGCAGTGCTGCCAGTCAGTGTCCGGCATTTGCGCCAGTCAGTGCCCAGCAGTTGCGCCAGTCAGTGCCCAGTAGTGCCGCCAGTCAGTGCCCAGTAGTGCCACCAGTCAGTGCCCAGCAGTGCCGCAAGTCAGTGCTGACTATCAGTACCCATCATCAGTGCCACCTATCAGTTCCACCTATCAGTGCCGCCTATCTGTGCCACCTCATTAGTGCTGACTATCAGTGCCGACTATCAGTGCCGACTATCAGTGCCCTTCAGTGCTGCCTATCAGTGCCCATCAGTGCTGCCTATCAGTGCCCATCAGTGCTGCCTATCAGTGCAGCCTCATCAATACACATCAGTAAAAGAGAAAAATTACCTGTTTGCAAAATTTTATAATAGAAACAAAGAAACCTTTTTTTTTCAAATTTTTTGCTCTTTTTTGTTTTTAGCGCAAAAAATAAAACCCCCAGCGGCAAGTAAATATCACCAAAAGAAAGCTCTATTTGTGAGAAAAAATGATAAAAAGTTCATATGGGTACAATGTTGCATGACCTCACAATTGTCATTCAAAGTGCGACAGCGCTGAAAGCTGAAAATCGGCCTGGTAAGGAGGGGGGTATAAGTGCCCGGTAGGCAAGTGGTTCAATGTGCTACTACCAAAAATATTATTAAATCAAAATACATGAAACACCAAACAATGAAAAAGTCTTTTGATGACAAAATCCCGATTATGATGAACCTCTGTGTCCACAATAATCCTCCACGTGTGTAGTGAAATAGAAACTCTCGTGTCCACCACCACAAAAAAAACACACTGATCCTTACCGAATAGTTAGACCCCACATTATAGGTGGTCTAACAGAGCATGATGCTGAACATATCTTGCTTGTAACATCTTAGATGGAAAAGAGGTGTCACAGATTTCTCTCCTCCTCTCTTCCTCCCTTATTATGACCTGCTGTGTGCTCGGTCAAAAAAGATAATACTCCAGATAGTGTGATAATGTACAAATGATTTATTAAAATGAATAAAAAACCACTTACAAATTTCATTGACAAATGAACATGTATTAATGTATTTTTTTACAAATAGCACAACAAGAACTGAGTAGGATTTAACATCGTTGCAAGAGAACCCTTCACCCTCAAACCACCCCCTCCAAACAGGGTTCGGGGGTCCTTCAACCAATAGAAAAAAATAAACAAAGAGAAAATATTTATTTGCACAATCCTAAACACACAGTTGATCCAGAGGGAGGCAAAAACTCAAAAAAGCATGATCCAATTTGCATTACTGGGGGGAAAAAATATTTATTTGTGATAAAGATATTCCATGGATCAACAATCCCTGGTTTTATTACTTATAAATGGTAATATCCAGTTTTCGAGCATTTAGGAATCCATTTAGCTTTTTTAAACAATCTACTAAGCTAGCCAGAACTAATTCTTGAGCCTATTCCACATTTTCACAGCTCTTACTTGTAAGAAGCCTTCCCATACAGTATGTGAAGGTTAAATCTGTATTCTTCCAGATATAAGAGTGCCCCCTTGTCCTCTGTATTGACCTGAAAGTGAATACCTCTACACCAAGTTCGCTATTTGAACCGCCTAAGTATTTAAGCGAGTACATGGTGAACATATTCACCCTTAATCTCCTCTTCTCAAGAGAGAATAAATTCAGTTCCTCTAATCTTTCCTCATAGCTGAGCTCCTCCATGCCTCTTATCAGTTTGGTTGCCCTTCTCTGCACTTTCCCTAGCTCTTCAATATCCATTTTGTGAACTGTTGCCCAAAGTTGAATGCTTATTCCAGATGAGATGTTACTAATGATTTGTACTAGGGCAAAATTTGTCTCCCTCTCTCTGAAGTCTATACCTCTTTTAATAAAAGAACATATTTTGCAATCTTTAGAAACTGCAGCTTGGCATTGCATACTATTATTAAAGTGTTGCTAAACCCACAACAGTAAAATCAGTCTGTATATGCAGTAAAGCATGCTTGTTATACCCACTATGGAACCTAAGGGAGTAATCCTCTGCATTGTGTAAAAAGGATGTTTGATCCTGTCTTCTCTGATCCTCTCCTTCTTCTACTGTCCCCAATCCATCTCCTGATAGAACAGAGCCTTGGGGGCAAGCTTCACATGCTCAGTTTGATGTATATTGCTAAAAAAAATGTATTTTCCTGGTAGAGTGCATGTGATCAGCACAGGGCCAATCAGCACTGTCCAGAGGGTCAGGGGTCCTGCATCCTCATAGGACAATCAGGGGAGAATGAAAACTACTGATACAAGCTTTAACCAGTGCTTGGCCAGACACTGATAGAAGTAACAATACTGCTCTAACTGCAGATGAGAAAAGGTATTTAGCAGTTTATATTTACAAAAATAATTTCATTTCCATGTTCTGTGTACTGTGGGAGACCAGATATAGTGAATGCAGGGTCCTGGGTTTAGTAACCCTTACATTTATGCTCTACCAGAACTCCCAGATCCTTCTCATCCATTGACTTCCCCAGCTGTTCTCATCCTAGTATGTATGGTGTGTGCATGTTTTTAGCCAACCAGTGCATAGCTTTACATTTACCAACAATAAACTTCATTGGCCACATAGTTTCCTAATTAAATAGTGCATTGAGGTTGGTTTGCAAGTTGGAGACAACCTGTAAAAACATTTTTCCACTACATAGCTTTGCGTCATCTGCTAACACTGAAAATATATTTTTAACACCAAACACTATAACATTTATAAATATGTTAAAAAGTATGGTTCCCATCACTGAACCTTGGGGTACACAAGTAATAACCTTACACCATCCAGAGTATGAATCTTTAATCACTTCTCTGTGAATACAGTCTTTTAACTACTTCCCGTCCGGCCCATGTATATAAACAGCCGAACGGGAGCAGTGCAAGGGCGTGTGGCCGTTTATAAATGGCCTCCCCGCTCCCTGCTTGTGCGCGCTCCCTGGGAGTGCGCAGCACCGCGATCTGGTGCCTTCTGTGTGCTCCGGACCCAGTGGCACACCGATCATTGTACGGGACCTCTGTGTAAGGTCCTGATCATGTGATCACTGATTGGCCAATCAGTGATCACATGAAGAGTAGTAAGCAAGATGTCACTTCTGACATCATTGATTACTACGTGTGAAATCTATTCACAACAGCCTTGTACCATGTGACAAGCTGTGACCAATCACAGCTCACACAGTAGTTCTCAATGGCTACAAGAATGCAGCCAGAGAGGAGAAATGATTGCTTTTCCAGCCTTTATGGGTGTAAAAGCAATCAGTGTAAAAAAAAAAAAATCTTCATAACCCCCACAAGTAGTACAGTGTCACTATGGTGACACTGTACTGCTAGGGTGACAGTATGTAAATAAAAAAACAAATAATAATATAAAAAAATAAAATAAAAATGTAAAAAAGAATTTTAAAAAATTATAAATTTTGTTATGAACTCATTTGGGTTATTTTTTTTTACTAAAAGATAACTGAATACATTTTGGCTAAGATTTATGAAGGAAGATTATTTGCTAATTTTTATAGGAAAAACACTTTTTTTTCAAAATTTTTGGACTTTTTCATTTATATAGCAAAAAAATAAAATCCCAGTGGTGAATAAATACCACCAAAATAAAGTTTTATCTGTCTCAAAAAAATGCAAAAAAAACTAATATGGGTACAGTGTTGCATGACCGTGCAATTGTCATTCAAAGTGTGATAGCGCTGAAAGCTGAAAATTGGCCTGGACAGGAAGGGGGTGAAAGTGTGTGGACTTGAAGTGGTTAATCAGTTTGCTATCCATTTACAAACTAAATTACATTTTTTAGCCTGTAGACGTGTGTGGGGACCTAGCCTGTAGCCGTGTGTGGTCATGTCCATATTTGGTCAGTGATATCACATGGGATGCCCTGCCCCTTAGTTTACATTCAGCTTTCAGCTAGGTAAATGTCATTTATAGCAAGCAGTGATCAGAGGCAGACGTGTTGGTGGGACAATGTTTTTTTTTTCTCAGTTGGTCGACATTGTTCATCGTGATTGGCATGAAGCAACATAGAGTTACATTGGATATACATTGTTGAACATTCTTTTCTTTGTTTTTTTTTTAATTAAGAACGTTATCATTGTGTGTGTTTTTCCCAATAAGGGCCACTTATTTGTATAATTCCTGATACGTCTTCCCCTGAAGACCCCACAATCACCAGGCTATGGTTGTGAGGAAGAGGCAAGAGAGGGATTCATACCAGAACCTCATTAACCGCTTACTGTCTGCCCTATACAGATATACTGCTATAGGATGGCATGGGTGTGCAAAATCACGTTTATATATGTGATTTTGCATTTCAGGGTAGGGGCACGCGATGTGCGCATGCACCCTATCCATGCCGCCATTCGCGGCCATGGTTGTCAATCACCGGGTCCCAATCGGTGATTGCCAAACATCTACGACGAGGGGAAGAACTATTAGTAAACAAAACAGTTCTCCTCCCTGTCAGTTAGTGCACACTGCTTTGCATACAAAGCAGTGTGCTTACAGTGAAGCACAACACACAGCCCCTAGTAAAACAGCACACAGTTAACCCTTTGATCACCCCATATGTTAACTCCTTCCTGCCCAATTCCATTAGTACAGTGTCAGTGCTTTTTATTAGCACTGATCACTGTATTGGTGTCACTGGGGATGTCAGTGACACCAAGTCAGTTCCCCCCCAGTGTCAGAATGCCCACTGCAGTCCGGCTATAAGTCGCTCATCACCGCCATTACTAGTAAACATTAAGAAAAAAAAATCCCAGTATATATACCACCATTTGTAAACACTGTAACTTTCATGTAAACCAATTAATTTACACAAATTGGGATTTTTGTTAGCAAAGACATGTCACAGAATGCATTTTGGCCTAAATTTATGATGAAATTCGATTTTTACATTTTTTTTTTACTGGATATGTTTAATAGCAAAAAGTCAAAAATATTGTGTTTTTCTCAAAATTGTAGGTAATTTTTTTATAGCGCAAAAAATTAAAAATGCACAGGCGATCAAATACCACCAAAAGAAAGCTCAATTTGTGGGGAAAACAAGGACGTAAATTTAATTTGGGTGCAGCGTTGCATGACCGCACAATTGTTAGTTAAACTAAATCAGTGCCGTAATGCAAAAAATGGCCTAATCAGGAAGGGGGGTAAGTCCTCTGGAGGGCAAGTGGTTAAGGATAAGTATTTGCTATGGATGAACTGAATCCTCCACCACTTTGTTTACAAACAAAATAAATTAGTGACAAATGGACAATTAACAGCTATTTTTTTTTTCTTTGTAAGTGTTGCTTTTGCTGTAGTGCATTGTGTAGAGGGAAAACGCCACATGCAGGTTCATAGATCCCCAAGCATGTAATTTAACCTGTTCACACCGACAGCACACACACACATATGTGGCCTCTTGGCAGCTGGGCCTTGACACAGAGGGGTTTATTTACTAAAGCTGGAGAGTCCAAAATCAGACTCCCTTCTGCATAGAAACCAGTCAGCTTCCAGGTTTCATTGCCAAAGCTTCATTGAATAAGCTGAGGTTAAAAGCTGATTGGTTTCTATGCAGAAGGGAGTCTGATTTTGGACTCTCCAGCTTTAGTAAATAAACCCCAGAGTGACCAAAAGTAAACATGTGCTGAGATCGCGGAGCCTGCATGCTCCCGACACATTTACTGGCACATTTACTGGCACCTCACAGAAAGGTCCCAATCACTAATTGCAATCTGGACCTTTCCGATCATGTGACATCAAATCATGGTGGTCACATGACCCTAAACCCCGCCCTGCCTTCTGGCATTACAAACCCCCTAAAGGGCAGGGAGGTGCCAGCACCAAGGGGTTAAAGAAAATGTGCAGTTTTTAATTTTGCCCTTGAAGCCTTATTAACCATCTTCCGTCCGGCCGTTGTATATAAACAGCCGAACGGTGGCAGTGCAGGGTCGGGTGGACACAGTGGAACACCAATCGTCGGACGGGACCTGTCAGGAACCCCCACACCCCCCCCACACACCCCCCCCCCCCCCCCCCCCCCCCCCCCCCCCCCCCCCCCCCCCCCCCCCCCCCCACCACCCCCCCCCCCCCCCCCCAACCCCCCCCCCCCCCCCCCCCCCCACCCCCCCCCCCCCCCCCACCCCCCCCAACCCGTTCACCACGGCCCATAGGTCTGCGCATGCACAAATTGCCAAGACACACTAACACGCGGGCAGTTGCGGCCGCGCATGCGCACTCGCGCACACGGGCGCGCGCTTGTCACCAATGACAGCTCAGGGCGCTCTATTTAAAACTGGCTCTTGCAATGCTCAAGTGCCGTATGGTCTTACTCCTGTTATCCTGTTGTATCCTGAGAGATTGCTTGTTGCCGACCCTGCCTGACCCTGATCCGTTGACCATCTCCTGCTCTGATTCCTGGCTTGTCTGACCATTTTTCTGTTTGCTCCTGAACATATTGACCGCATGTTACTGAACCTGGCCTGTGACCATTTTATCCCTCTGCCTGCCACTCTGTACCGTTCTGCCTCCACCGTTACCGGCCCGGCCTGTCTGACTACGCTTAATTCACCTCTTCACATCAGGCTCTCACCCACTACGTGCCACTGGCAAGTACCTCTACCACAGCTGCTTGTACCCAAGGGCCGCGACCTGGTGTCGACCTGCTCCAAGTCCATCCCCACCATCAGGGGCTCCGGTGAACAAGCAGGTCGGAGCTTAGATTCCGCGCCTTGGGGAATTCCAGCCTGTGGGGCGCTAGAGGCTTCTGTCAGTTGGTCCCTGACAGGACCTCTGTACAAGGTCCCAATCATGTGATCACTGATTGGCCAATCAGCGATCACATGCAAAGTAGTAAGCAAGATGTCACTTGTGACATCATTGCTTACTACGTGTGAAATCTGTGAATGATCACAGAGGTCACATGGTACAAGGCTATTCACAACAGCCTTGTGCCATGTGACAAGCTGTGACCAATCACAGCTCACTCAGTAGTTCTCAATGGCTGCAATAATGCAGCTAGAGAGAAGGAGAAATGATTTCTTTTACATCCTTTATGGGTGTAAAAGCAATCAGTGTAAAAAAAAAAAATCTTCATCACCCCCCACAAGTAGTACAGTGTCACCATGGTGACACTGTACTGCTAGGGTGACAATATGTAAAAAAAAAAAATAATATTAAAAAAATTTAAAAAAATGTTTAAAAATTATAATTTTGGTTATAAACTAATTTGGGTTATTTTTTTTTACTAAAAATATAACGGAATAAATTTTGGCCAAGATTTATGATGAAATACTATTTTAATTTACATAGCAAAAAAAATAAAAATCCCAGTGGTGAATAAATACCACCAAAATAAAGCTTTATCTGTCTCAAAAAAATGCTACAAAAAATTAATATGGGTAGTGTTGCATGACTGCGCAATTGTCATTCAAAGTTTGATAGCACTGAAAGCTGAAAAGTGGCCTGGACAGGAAGGGGGTAAAAGTGTCTGGACTAGAAGTGGTTAAAGGAGCTGCTCCCCGCTGAACTGTATTTTTTTTTTTTTATTGGTCCCCCCCTGCCTGTGCCCAGCACCCCCAATGCCCTTTTATTGACAATTACTGGACTATTGACCTTGAAAATGAAGAACATTGATTTTTAACATTCAGAGCCGGTTGATTTCAATGAGTTTCACATTAATGTTTGCAATTCCTGAACCTTTGAATTTCATTGAACCTCCAGAGAATCAAACCCAGGCACATTCATGACATCGCTACTCCTGCAATGTCAGGAACCTTCTCATACATGCCTCTGATGTAGACTTCCAGCATCTGTGCTGACGCATATTATGCAGGCAAGGCCCACTGTGGTAAAAAGATGCCATGCCTGATTAATGATATGCATCCAACACATGTATATGTATAAAGAAGACAACTAAAGAGGCTGAAGGAGATCAACAGCACTGAGGTACACAATAAGGAGGAAAAAAGGAGGAAGTTGTGAAAACAATGTAAAAAAACAAAAAAATGCTCAGAAATTGTTTATGGTACACAATGCTTTAGCAAACACAAAGTTGTAAAGTTAGGATCTGATCTACTTTAAAGTGGTAGTAAACTCTCATTTCTATTTTTACTTATAATAAAGCTTACCTGTAGGAAAAGTGAATATCTCCTAAACGTGCACCATTTAGGAGATATTCTATAAAGCTGCAGCCAGTGACATCACCGGCACATGCGCTCTAAAGAAACTACATACCCGTGCTGTTCCTTCAGAGCTGTGTGCCATGGCCGAAATTCACGTGCGCATATGCGGGAGTGACGTCCTTGGGGGTTCAGCCATTCAAGCAGGTGCAGTCTGGGAACCTGGAAAGAAGAATGGGTGAAGATGGAAGCCCTGTCAGCGGTAACAGCATGCCATTGGAGGGGTTTGTTTTAAGGTAAGTTTCATATAATGTGCTAGTATACAATGCATACTAGCACATTATGATATTAACTTGCAGGGGGAAACTTTTTTTTTTTCTTTTATGAACAAGTTTACTATCGCTTTAAGGGCCAGTTCACATTTTCTACACTGGAAGAAGGCCAGTCACCACCAGGACACACGGAAAACAATTGCATTCTATGTGTCCTATTTACACTGCAACGCAGTACAGAGATGCACTGCAGTCAGTTGCAATAAAATGCAGACATGCTACATTTTATTGCTGCATGCAGGATGGGATTGTATGTGCTGTACAGCAGCATAATGCATTGTGCTGCTGTACAGTGACATGCATGAAGTGTCACTTTGTACAAAATTGAGTAAAAAAAATAGAACTGTGTGATGCACTGAAGCACAGATCACACGACAACCTACCGCCAGCTCACTGCAGCCAGAGCAAACAGCTGCTGCACGCTAAAAAGCTGCACGTGTGCATCAGCTGTCTTGGCCCTTAAACCAAACTCCAGGGTTTTAAAAAAAACTAAAGTTGATCCCAGACACTGCAAGGGTTAAATGCTTATTTACTCCAGGAAAAAAAAATATGTAATACTTGTTCCTCACTCTGGCACTCTCCTCTGCACCCCTTCCCATTCTAATGTAGAATATAGAGCTATAGGTCCTGCATTGTACCTAATGCACTGTACATTGTACAACTGCTGACCAGACTGGATTAGAAAAGAGGCTGTCAGGGATCAAATACACAGATAGAGGACGTCTACCTACCAGAGCAATGAATAAGTTAACTGTTAGGCTAGGTTCACATATGTGCAGGTGGTGCCGCTGCGGATCCACCCAAAAATCCATGCAGCAGCACTACCTGCACTGAAGAATGCGGACCCGCTGGCGGGCGACATTTATTCTAATGGCACACCGCCCACACTGGAAGTCACAACTGTACTGGGAACCGAGGTTCACGTGTGGGCTGCGTTTTCAGAAGAAGTGCAGGGACTTCTTCCCCACATGTCCCGGGGCACGGGAGTCCATTCAAATGAATGGGCTCTTGTGCCCGCAGGAACGCACATATGTGAACCAGGGCTTACACCTTATTCATCTTCCCCTAGAGTTAACCACTGCAGTGCTGGGAAGGAGCACCGCAAGGGTAGTTTTTTTTTTTGTAATTCTGGGAGCTGGACTTCAAGGGTTCGTGGAAGAAGAAATGTCTCACCACCCATCATTCATAGCTGTCCATCTATAATTGGTTTACGATGACATTTTTCAGTGGTACTAACTAACGGGATTGAAATTCTTTATAAACCTCATTAACAGAATTAGAAAACAATTGTGCATATCTGATATATAATTCTTGCCAAAGTGGAAGCTATAAAAGTAAAATGAAATAATATATTTTCCCAGACACAAACTATTATTGTACATCTATTGATCTTCAGTGAATCTTAGCACATAAAATTGAAACTGAGTGAATTCTGCACTAAAGAGAGCTAGAGTCTGATTGTTAATGTAATGTAGGACTTTTAATGAGTACCACTTTAGTGTTATTGTATTGTAGATTGGAGTATTTTATTCAAAACATTAAGAGAATAAATACATAAAAGGTCCATCTACGGATAAGATTTTTTTAGTACTGATTGTTCCTTTATACCAGCAAATTAGAGAACCTGCTAATATTACACACAAAGTACTTCTAGTATTTGATGAAAACCTTGTTTTATTTTTTGGTACTGTTTATAATTATGGATTTTTTACTGGACACAAATGTTTCATGATCTTTTAATACAATTCTGAAAAACCTCAATGATTCTTGAAGACATACTATAGCATATTTTCCGTGGGCACAAAGTTTAACATTTTATGCATTTGGCAGCATCACTGTGGGCTTTAAACACAGCTTATGAACTGTCATGTGTTCTACTTCAATAAAGTCAGGGAGATTTACTGATCTGTGCTTGATGTGTGTTCCAAACTCATGTCAAATTCCACAAAACAATGCCCATAGACATAAGCTCTTAAATGATCAGACAAATTTAAAGTGATGTGGTTTGTGGTTTCTTATTTCTCAAAGAGACTCAAGTGGCTGTAATAGTTATTGGCCTATCTCGGAGTTTGGGGTATTTTTGACCACCTTGGATGCTACTTCTTAAAGTGTTACTAAGCCCACAATAGTAAAATCAGTCTGTATATGCAGTAAACCATGCTTGTTATACTTACTGCGGAACCTGAGGGGTTAATCCTCTGCATTGTGTAAAAGTGTTGTTTGATCCTGACTTCTCTGATCCTTCCCTTGTTCCAGTGTTCCCCTCTTATCTCCTGATGAGACATATCTTGTGGAGATACACTGTACATGCTCAATTTGGTGTTTATTGCTAGGGAGGTTTTTTTCTTGGGAAAATGCATGTTATTAGCACAGGGCCAATCAGTACTGTCCAGGCAGAGGTCAGGGGTTCTGCATCCTCCTAGAGAAGAAAGAAAACTCCTCCTACAAGCTTATAACCAGTGCTCAGCTGGACACTGATAGAAGTCACAAGACTGCTCTACCTGCTGATGGGAAAAGGTATTCAGCAGTTTATATTTAGTAAAATAATTGTATTTCCATGTTCTGTGTACTGTGGGAGACCAGATAGAGTGAGCACTTTACATTATAAATCAACCACTTCAATACTTTCACCCTCAGCCCCAACCCCTCCCCCCTGCCCAAGCCAATTTTCAGATTTCAGTGCTGTCACACGTTAATTGACAATTATTCAATCTATTCAACTTAAAGTATTTTCACAAAATTATCCGTTTAAGTTATTTTACACACACTGCATAGGCATATTTGCAATTACACCTCCTGAGTAAGGGAATACCACATGTGTGAGACTTTTTCACACCCTAGCCGCATAGAGGGGCCCATAATCTAAGAAGCACCTTTGGCTTTCAAGGAGCATAAATTGCGCATAAATTACACATCTAATTTCCTGACTGCCTATCACATTTTGTAAGACCCTGGAGCACCAGGACAATAGAAATACCCACAAAAAGTACCACATTTTGGAAAGCAAACACCCCAACATGTATTCTGTGAGGCATAATGAGTCTTTTGAACTTGTCATTTTTTACCACAAGCTTTTGGAAAATGTGAAAAGAAAATCAAAACTTTTTTTAACGCAAAGTTATCAATTTATAAGAGATTTCTAACATACAGCATGGACCTACTATGAATTACGTCCCAAAATACATCCTACTACTCCTCCTAAGTATGGCAATGCCACATGTGTGGGGCTTTTTCATAGCCTACCCACATACAGAGGCCCAACATCCAAGGAGCAAGTTCAGGAGTTCTAGGGGCATACATTACACATCTAATTTTCTAACTGCCTATCACATTTTTGAAAGACCTAGCACACCAGGACAATGTAGTCATCCACAAATGGCCACATTTTGGAGAGCAAACACCCCTACATACAGTATATTCTATGAGGCATAATGTGTCTTTTGAACATGCCATTTTTTGCCACAAATATATGGAAATGTGAAAACATAGTTTTCTCTACTCAGA